GCCGAGCTGTTAGTGGCTGCAGCTGCTAACATCTGGCCACTGCTGGGGCCCACCCTGCTGCTCCCCAGGCCGAGCCAGGATCCGCCAGGCCCCAGGAGAAGCCCCGGGCCGGGCCAGTTTAACCAAGGCTCTGCCTCTGGTGAGATTCGCCCCCAGCCAGCAGGCAGGGGGAGGAGAAGTCCTCCGCTCCCTGTGCCGGCTCTGGCTGTGCCAAGATCCCGGCTCGGCTGCGGCTCCGCTGGAAGGGGATCCCATCCAGGGACCCCATGGACACGAACTGCGGGAACCCCGGGCTGGGCTCCGACAGCGCCACGGGCAGGGAACGCAGGTGTTATGTGTAATAAATATAATTCGCACCATTCCTCATATGAAATATGTAATATTGGATATTTGTTAAATCATGCCGGTCGTATTAGTTCCCCCCCTCCCTTTACAGGTGAGACTGGATGTATATTAGAAACTGATTTACAAGTAAAAGGATGTGGCTTGGCCAGGAGATGGGCCATGTCTGGGCTCCAGATGTTAATCATCACGATCATCAGTGCTGATCGCCCAAGATGGATATCATGGAAATCCTCAGACAGATCCATGTGAATGCAGCCTTCTGGTAAACTCTCATCAAGAATTCAACTACTCCGGACATTGAATTATTTCTCCTCATCACCAAAAAGAAATCCTTATTAACACATGGACTCCAAACAGAAGAAAGGACTGATTGCTAAAACCTTGGCCTCAGGCAGAATTTTCCCTATAAAAACCGCCTGTGCCAGGATGGAGGTGTGTGGGCATAGGAGAAAACCTCTGCTGAGGCTGACTCCTTGTTGCACACCCAGGGTCGACCCCGGGCTCGGCTCTGTCCTTTCCGTGTGGCTGACTAGATAGAATCTGACCGCAAATAAAATTATTTTTATTTTTAATCTGGCTGAATAAATTCTCATTTATAACACAGGGACAGGAGAACTGGGGGCACACGGAGATTTGGGGGCTGGGGGGGCACGGGGGAAGGAAAGGGGGAACGGGAGCGCTGGGAACGGGGTTAGGGGGTTCCAGAATTAAGAAAGGGGAAGGCTGGGGTGGGTAGAGGTGGGATGGGCGGGGTTAAGGGGGTTCCTGTATCCAGGAAAGGGAGCTCCACGGCTCCCCGGCGTCCCCATTCCCCGCAAAAGGTGGGAAAACCCGGGTTGGCTGGGAATAGGGGTCCCGGGTGTCCTCGGCGTTGAGGAAAGGAGGGGCTGGGCGCTGGGAAAGGCAAGGATAGGGGTCCAGGGGATCTCTGGGCGAAGGAAAAGGGGGCTCTGGGGGCTGGGAGAGGCAGGATGGCCGGAAAAGGGGTGCGGGGGTTGCTGGTGCCGGGTAAGGGGGTGCAGGGTAGAACCCATGCTGGGAATGGGTGCGGGGGGATGGCGGCGCCCGGGAATGCCTCAGGGCCCCTCGGTGCTCCGGAATGGGCGATCAAAGAGTCCCGGTGCCGGGGGTCCCCCTCGCCTCTCGCCGCCGCCCCGGGGCCCAGGAGCGCCCCCAGCCCCGGAGCCATGGCACTGCTCCGCTGCGGCCCCGCCTCCAGAGCCGCCTCCGGGCCCGCCATTGGCTCCGCTCTTTGCTGCCCGCCAATGGCAGCCCGAGTCTCCAATGATGTCATCGGTCGCCGGGCAGATCCCGGCGGCGCAGGGCGGAAAAGGCCTCGCAGCGTTTTTCACAGACAGCATTCGGACGTCCGTAATTCTTTGCTTTTTATTGTCTTGTAATTGTCATAACTCTGCAATTTTTACTACTCTAATTGTTAATTTATTACTCTAATTATTAAGCTTTTAAAATCTTAAAAACCAAGTGATTGGCGTTTTTCACAGAAAGCACCGGAGTCAAGTCAGTAGCTCAAGTGACAATCTCCTTTGAAAATCGCTGCGGCTCGGCCCGGCTCGGCCCGGCTCGGCCCGGCCCCGCCCATCGGGTGCCGTGGGTGCCTGGAAACCGCGAACGCGGCGGCGGCGTCTGTGACGAGCGGCGGTGATGCGCTCGGCTCGGCTCGGCTCAGCAGCCACAGAGCGCTCCTGGCTGGTTGTGCCAGCCTGGGCTCCTGCGGGCGGCTACACTGGGCCATTCGCCAAATGATTGTTTACAGAGCATCACTCTCTGCACGGGATTCCCGAATTCACAGAGCATCACTCTCTGCACGGGATTCCCGAATTCGCAGAGCATTGGTCTCTGCTCGGGATTCCTGATTTCACAGAGCATTGGTCTCTGCACGGGATTCCCGAATTCACAGAGCATTGGTCTCTGCTACACAGTCCTGAATTTCCATTGAAGGTAAAGATTGACTAAAGCTGAACTTTTTGGTTTTGTCTCATCTGCGCTCTGAAAGAGAATGCCAAAGGGAAATGCAGGGTGTGATAATGCCAGTCCTCTGGTGCAGCAGTTCAGTGGCATGTACAGCTGTGTGGATGAATGACACATGGTCTACTGATTGTATTTTTTTGCACTGAAGAAATGCAACATTTTCTAAATGTACTAGTCTATACATTTTTTTTCCTATAGTGATTGCTTAAACTGCTTAAAGGTGAATGAGTTCTGGTCAAGTTTCAGTGGGTTGTTATCATCTGGTTATTAAAATTATTAGGGAGATGCCTCTGAATTGCCAAAGTCAATAGTCTGGATTTTATTTAACAGTAAATGTGAGGAATAGAGAGAGAAAGAAAGAAAAAGTGGCAGGGAGGGTGGGGTTCGGAAAAGGGAAGAGAAAGAGCGTGACAGAGACAGATTAAGTAAAAAATATCACAGTTCCATGGATCCCATCAGCATACCATAAAATCCTCTTCTGGTCTTCTCTGTGGTGAGGTCTCTCTCGCAAAACATAAGACTCCAATGGATTAATGCAGATTTGGGCAAGGTGGGACCTCCCTGGAGTGGGGCAAGTCTGACTCCATCTATTGCTACTTTCAAATAATATCAAATCTTTAGCACCAGTATATCCTTTGAGTCTGCCATGAATTGGGTTCTGGATTTTCAGATCTGTTGTGTTACTTGGCATGGCCTGCAGTCATCTGGTGCAAGGCCTCAGGGATGGGTCTGGGGGCACTTTGGAGGTCTTTGATGGCAGGTTTGTGTGCAAAGCTGGCCTCAGCAGATGAGTCTGTGGCTATGAATTCCCTGCCCTGAACCCAGACAGAGCTGATTTTCAGGACAGCTGCTGGGTTTGGCTTTGTTGTGGATAGGTTTTCTCCTCAGCTTTGTTTACTTCTCCCCAGACCTGAGATAACTGGCAATAGTGTCACCTTTGTCTTGTTTCAAGTTCCCTTAGGCAGCTTAACTCACAGTCCAAAGTTCCAGCCAGGAGGTGTTTTCAGGGAAGGGTTGGCTTGGGTGGTCGCAGCTTCTTTATGCAGTCACAATGGGCAGAAAGTCCTTTATAACAATATTTAAGCCATTAGCCATAACACTGCAGTCTCTCACAAGTCCTGTGAGGAACAGCTGAGAGAACAGGGCTGGTTTAGCTTAAAGAAGAGGAGATCCACTCGAGCTATTTTTAAGTATTTAATATTTAAGCTACATCTTTGTTCTAACTATGATTAATGTTCCTATTTTTAGCTCCAGCTTTCAGTATGATCCATCTTTGAATTGCACAACATAGCCATATAGTTCAAATAAAGTCCAGCTAGAGGCCTAACAATACTAGCTACTTACACCAAACAAGCATTTAGCTACTTCCAAATACTATAAAATTTTTAGCACCAGTATATGCCTTGAATCTGCCAGGAATTGGGTTCTGGATTTTCAGAGTTCCATTGTTGCTCCTTCCAGTTTCATTGAGGCATTGTCGTTTATCTGGGATATCCTCCCTTCAAAATGGCTTCTGGATTCCGAGAAAAGTTCCTGACACCCCGTCTTTGGTCCAGGGAAGCGCTGAAGTCTTTCACTGTAAGTACCCACTGGGGCTGTGTTAAGGCTGGAAACTCCCCTCGTGTCCCTCCTCTCCCTGCCCCTGTTGTCCAGCAACGCTGTGAAGCTGCAGACGCCCTCCCCACCTCTTTGTGCCGTGCTCCTGGCTCTTGGTGGGGGCTGTCCTGGTGCAGAAGGGAACACCGTGTGTTGCCTCAGGGTCTTGCCTGGCTGAGCCAAGTGAAACCAATGTGCAGCTGAAGCCCCGAGCGTGTCTTCTGTCCCTTTCCCTTTGCCACAGCAATTCCTTCTGTCAGGCTGGGCACTCACCTGTGCTGCTCTGACCCACCGGCCCTTAGGCACCTGGGCATGTGGTGGGGCGGGGAAAGCTCAAACTCTGCTCAAAGCCTAGAGAGACACGGCTGGTCCCAGCTGGAAGAACTTCCAAGCCAGCTGCTCTCTCTCATCTCCTGTGTGGGTGCAGATCCAGCCCTGCAGGCAGTGCTGGAGTCAGGGCCACAAAGGTCCCTTGGTGTCTGGAGCTCACTGGAGTGAAGATGCCCCACTGCTGACGCTCTGTCAAGGAGATCCCTCTGTTTTCTTCTGTGGAGGAGTCTGTGAGCCCAGACAGAGAAAACAAATGCTGATTAACAGAGAAAACAAAAACTTGGACACATTCCTGTGCTCCTCATTCTTGGTACAACGTTCCTTTCTTGCGTCTCTTGGACTCCCCCAGCAGCGATAGCTCCTTGCTGTGAGTTCTCAGTGTTGTACATGGATGGAGTTAGGGGAGTTCTGGGAGCTCCTCCCCACTCTCTGAAAAGGTCAATGCCTCAATCCAATGAAACATAAGAGGAAACAAATGCCCAAAGAGCAGAAATCCCCAAAGATGTCACATTACATCACGGAGAAGCTAATGGGACACAGTCATGTGGTTGGAGTATGTGTATTCCACTCTGTATTATTAATTTATCTGTGCTAAGTATTTCAGCAAGTAACTTCCAGGGCTTCCAGGACTGTCCTAGACTATGTGATCACAAATTGTTCACCAGTGCCACTTGTTCAAGAAAAGATTTTCTGAACAAGCACATCTCTGAGACTCTAGCTGGTTTATTTTTGCCTTTCAGCTGCTTCCCTCTAAGTCCCTGTGGGAGAAGTTTTTCAACAGGAAGAAGACCAGCACTGCAGGGAATATTCCACCCAGAACTGTCCCATTTCTAGACATGAGTAAGACCAGTCAAAAGGTAGCCTTTTCCTGCTCTTTTCCACACCTGTTTGATGTGAAGTTTGAAGAGGGTGTGTGCTTGTGACAGGCTTGCCTCCAGCAAAATACCTCAGTGTCCAGGTCCTGTTGTCGGTGCAAACTGCTCGTAATGGTGGATGGGAGTCCTGATCTGCACTGAGCCAACACAAATAACCTCTGCTGAAACTGCCTAAGTGTAGCTGCCATTGCTAAAACAATGAGGGGAAGGCTGGGGACACAAAGGCACAAAATTGCCATTTGCCATTCTCCTGCTGAAGTAGCCACCTCTTGCTTTGGTGTGGTCGCCATCAAATGCCCGGGGTCACAGGATTCCCTTCCGAGAGGCAGCGCTGGCCTTTGAAGGCCGAGGAGCTGCAGGAATTACTTCAGATTGAACAAAACGAATTTCATGAATGCTTTGGGTTGGAACAATGTGTTGGACCCTGACGGGGTATTAGATTTAGCAGGCTGCCAGATGTGCAGGGGACTCGCCCTGGGCAGAGGGGAATGGATGTGCTTTATCTGCATCAGTGCCTACTTAGAGGTGTGTTTAAAGCTGCTTTTCTGGCAGGACTGGCTCAGTATAAAGCACAGCCCAAAGGGGTAGGTGACCAAGGTGGGCTGTTGAGCAGGAAATTGGCAGCAAGAGATGCTGGTTAAGGATTTCCCTGGAGAGGGGCGTTGGGAACACCTCAGGGAAGGGCACAACTAAAGGCCAGGATGCTGCAGCCACTCCCTTCAGCAGACTGTGTCTCCTGGGGAGTCACACAGGAGGCCTGCTTGTGTCTCTGAAGTGACAGCAGTGTGGCTGGAGAAGGCAGGCAAAGGGGAGAGTTTTCTCAAAGCAATGTCTCTGCTCCAGAAGCATTTGCTGTTGTTGTGTCATCCCAGACGTGCCTCTACAATGGTGTCACGTGAGATGGCAATAATTACAAGAAAGCACCCATTTAAAGCTCATGGAAAAAGGAGTCACCAACTCTACCTTCACCCAAGTTGCTCAGAAAATAACTGAACCTTTTCCTCATTCAGCACTCACTCATTTGTCTTTTTCCTAACTTCTGTGTTACTTTATTTTTGCTTTTACCTCTGTTTGAAATGCACTAACTTTTAAATGCAATTAAAGAGGACAAAAGAAAACTATTTATTAGTAACAAAAGCCAGGGACCTCATAAAACAGGAAAACTGGACAGGACAGAACACACTTCCAAGCAATATGATTAATGCAACGTTCTTCCCTTATTTGTGATAAGATGGCAGTTTATATACACTCCCATATAGTTTACAGTTTACAAAGGCACTCTGATTGGCAAGCTATCATTGTTTACCTTTGCCTTAAGGTGGTCAGGCTTTTAACACTGCAGATCTACTCTAATTCATGCTCGGATAGCTGATTGCTTTGTAGTTACCTTAACACAATTTCTGACTGGCCACTACTGAATTCTCACTGCATCAAAGGCTTCGAGGCCCCACCAAGGCCGCTCATCAGGGCCTGTCTGAGGGGGAGCTCAAGTCTCACTCCAGACATAAATCATGCTCTCTCTCTCTCAGAAACTCTGTAATGAGTAACTGTTCTGGTTTGAAAGCAAAACCAGTGAGAGACTCCAAGTCAGAAATACAATTTATTGGGAAAAGGGGAAAAGGACAAAAATACATGCAATAATACAAAGGGAAAGGCTACTGACAAAGTCAGAATACAACCTGGCCAGTGTGCTGGTAGCAGTCCGAATGGGAGTAGCTACAGTCTTCTTGGGATGGCAGATGTAGTTGCTGTGTCTTCTCAGAGAACCTCTGGAAAGGCTCCCCTCTGTGTAGAAATCTCCAGTTTTATCCAGGTGGGAATGCCTAGCTCCTCCCCTTTGGCAGAGCATCTCACAATGGGTCATTATGAGTTACAAGGTGTGTCCTTAATCACCTCCTCCTCCTGGACAGTGTTATCTCTGAGTCATGTGGCCAGGCATTGATGGGGCCATTAAGAGCAGATAAGGAAAACTGCTCTAAGGCAACTCCTACTCAGATGGGAATTGGAAAACAGTTTTTTAAAAAAAACTTGGACAGTAACAATTCAGCTGAGCTGGGCATGCCTCCCTCCCCCCAGAGATGAACAAACACACCCTCTGAGAAAATGGCAATCTTTCTATCTCCTTTGCACCCAGCCAGGGCGGTCCCTGTCCCCTTTCCCCTTGGATGGGCACTCAGGAACTTCCATTCTGTCCAGCTGCCAGCTCTTCTGTCCCCTCCCCTCTCATCCTGCTTCCTTTTGGTCAGCTCTTCAACCCTGTCCCTCTCACAGCAGCACCCAACAAACCAACCTGAACAAATCCAAACCACAAACAACACACAGAACCAACAAATTCCATTCTTTCGCTAGATAACCTTTTGGCTTCAGCAAAATATCACCTCACCTCTCACACCTCCTCTGGTACTGTTCTCTTCTTACTGATGTCTAAGTTCTAGATCAAAAAAGATATTTGCAGTTGTGTGGGCCTTGGTTTCCCTGTCTCAGAGTAAAGGACATCCTAAAATAGTTTCCCATGGAGTCTGATGTAAATCTGTGGATTTTACTTACTCCACGAGTGCTCACTCAGTGCCCCAGAGCTCTGTGACCACATGGGCACAGGGCTGTGCTTAAGGTAAGTGCTGCTTGGCTTTCTGGAGAAGGAAACCTGGAGAAATACGTGCCAAAAGAACAGCTTGGCTTGAGCCTGCTCTGTGTGGCCCAGCAGCTCTTGATCAGCTCAGAGCAGAGGTGGGTGAGCCACTGTTTGCCCAGTGTGGGCTGGGCAGACGTGCTCACCCAGAGCCTGTACTTCACTGGGGATCAGTGTAAGGGATCCTTCACGACCCTTCCTCCCAGCAGCTGAACCTCTCCCTGCTCTCTCTCGCCTCTCCAGCTGTCGTCAGTTCCCTCAAAGCAGAACTTGCTTCAGGTTTCCCCACCAGAGGTGGTGTTTCAGGGCTTTGTCGCTCATGAGGTCTCTGAAATGGTGGTGTCTCTCATGAATAAGGACAAGGTAAGTGCTGGGGGCTGGAGCTGTAACAGTGTGCTGGAAGAGAAGAGTGGTGTAATTCCCAGAGTGTACAGCAAAGCAAGTTACCTGCTGCAGCACATTCACAAGAAAATGTCTCAGCATCTTTGTTCTGCAAGATGGTGGAAATCTTCTTGTGCTGGGAATTCTCCCTGATTTTGGCCATGTGTTGATGGTATCTATCCCAAAGGAGTTGCCTTCTCTTGAAAGCTCTGGATTGATAGGAATGTTGAGGGCTGTACAGTTCTTACCTGCTCTCATGCTTTGCCTTGAGTGTATACCACATCCTGTGTCTCCTAGGTTAATCTTGGCTCCTCTGCCTCTCTCAGCCTGTTTTGCTTCCTTTGTGCAGCTCACAGTCAAAGCTCAAGGGCTGAGCCCTCTCCACTTTATGCTGGAATCACTTTTCATCACTGGCACTGGCACTGCAGGAAGTGTGTTCTGAAAGAGCCTTGGGATCAGGCTGATGTAGCAGAAGCAGCCAGAAGCCTTTAGGTGCCACTTTGGGCTCCTGCTAGGCTTCATCCAGCTCTGCTCAGGTTTTCCAAAAGAAACTTGGAGCTCTGCTTTCCCTTTGGAGAACCACAGCATATCCAAAGCCATNTTGGCAGAGCATCTCACAATGGGTCATTATGAGTTACAAGGTGTGTCCTTAATCACCTCCTCCTCCTGGACAGTGTTATCTCTGAGTCATGTGGCCAGGCATTGATGGGGCCATTAAGAGCAGATAAGGAAAACTGCTCTAAGGCAACTCCTACTCAGATGGGAATTGGAAAACAGTTTTTTAAAAAAAACTTGGACAGTAACAATTCAGCTGAGCTGGGCATGCCTCCCTCCCCCCAGAGATGAACAAACACACCCTCTGAGAAAATGGCAATCTTTCTATCTCCTTTGCACCCAGCCAGGGCGGTCCCTGTCCCCTTTCCCCTTGGATGGGCACTCAGGAACTTCCATTCTGTCCAGCTGCCAGCTCTTCTGTCCCCTCCCCTCTCATCCTGCTTCCTTTTGGTCAGCTCTTCAACCCTGTCCCTCTCACAGCAGCACCCAACAAACCAACCTGAACAAATCCAAACCACAAACAACACACAGAACCAACAAATTCCATTCTTTCGCTAGATAACCTTTTGGCTTCAGCAAAATATCACCTCACCTCTCACACCTCCTCTGGTACTGTTCTCTTCTTACTGATGTCTAAGTTCTAGATCAAAAAAGATATTTGCAGTTGTGTGGGCCTTGGTTTCCCTGTCTCAGAGTAAAGGACATCCTAAAATAGTTTCCCATGGAGTCTGATGTAAATCTGTGGATTTTACTTACTCCACGAGTGCTCACTCAGTGCCCCAGAGCTCTGTGACCACATGGGCACAGGGCTGTGCTTAAAGTAAGTGCTGCCTGGCATTCTGGAGAAGGAAACCTGGAGAAATACGTGCCAAAAGAACAGCTTGGCTTGAGCCTGCTCTGTGTGGCCCAGCAGCTCTTGATCAGCTCAGAGCAGAGGTGGGTGAGCCACTGTTTGCCCAGTGTGGGCTGGGCAGACGTGCTCACCCAGAGCCTGTACTTCACTGGGGATCAGTGTAAGGGATCCTTCACGACCCTTCCTCCCAGCAGCTGAACCTCTCCCTGCTCTCTCTCGCCTCTCCAGCTGTCGTCAGTTCCCTCAAAGCAGAACTTGCTTCAGGTTTCCCCACCAGAGGTGGTGTTTCAGGGCTTTGTCGCTCATGAGGTCTCTGAAATGGTGGTGTCTCTCATGAATAAGGACAAGGTAAGTGCTGGGGGCTGGAGCTGTAACAGTGTGCTGGAAGAGAAGAGTGGTGTAATTCCCAGAGTGTACAGCAAAGCAAGTTACCTGCTGCAGCACATTCACAAGAAAATGTCTCAGCATCTTTGTTCTGCAAGATGGTGGAAATCTTCTTGTGCTGGGAATTCTCCCTGATTTTGGCCATGTGTTGATGGTATCTATCCCAAAGGAGTTGCCTTCTCTTGAAAGCTCTGGATTGATAGGAATGTTGAGGGCTGTACAGTTCTTACCTGCTCTCGTGCTTTGCCTTGAGTGTATACCACATCCTGTGTCTCCTAGGTTAATCTTGGCTCCTCTGCCTCTCTCAGCCTGTTTTGCTTCCTTTGTGCAGCTCACAGTCAAAGCTCAAGGGCTGAGCCCTCTCCACTTTATGCTGGAATCACTTTTCATCACTGGCACTGGCACTGCAGGAAGTGTGTTCTGAAAGAGCCTTGGGATCAGGCTGATGTAGCAGAAGCAGCCAGAAGCCTTTAGGTGCCACTTTGGGCTCCTGCTAGGCTTCATCCAGCTCTGCTCAGGTTTTCCAAAAGAAACTTGGAGCTCTGCTTTCCCTTTGGAGAACCACAGCATATCCAAAGCCATATGCTCCTGGAGGTTTTCACCTTCACTTGAAATTGTGATTGTTTTGCAGTTTCCCAAGAGAGTTGAGAGGGAAAAAGGCGAAAAACATCAGCAGTTGTGTTCCACTGTAAAGAGGAAAATGGAGACCATTTGCATTTCAGTCAGGGAAACATTTTCTCAAATGAGCCTTGTGCCAAGAGTGGTGGTGGCAAGAGACAGGAGAGAGTCAAAATCATCCACTTTAGACTTCTTGAGAGCATTTTGGTGCTTGGGGGTTGATAACTATGTGCTAGAAAATACATGTTTGCTGTGTCCGTGTATCCCAGAGGACAGAACCTGGCCTGCTGGCTGCAGGCAGGAATGCCCAGCAGCCCAGCTTGCCTGCACAGGCAGCAAGAACCCCTGGAGAGCCAAGACTGGCTTTTAATTCTGGAACCACACTGTGAGTCAGTGCTGGTCATGTTTCTCCAGGCAGAAAATGCCTTCGAAGCCCATAGTCAGTAGGCACAGCTTGTCTGTGTTTCTGTCACTTTTGGCCAGCTGATTGCTCTCATGGTTTTATGATTCTTCCTCGCTGCTTTACTGCCCATTTAAATTTTCTTTGCCATCTCCTTGTTTTAGGGGTTGTCTTGCTGTGTTCCTTTTGCTTTTCAGGTTTGCTTTTATTCCCAGTAAGGCCAAAGTGTTTGGTCTCCTCTCTTGCTGGCCTGCCTGCATGACTGTATCCCCAGAACTGCCCTACCCAAACCTCATCTGCTAGAAGGGAATTTCTTCCTTCCCCCAGGATAATGTGCTGTTTTGCTTTCAGGCAGCACAAAATCCCTCTGGAACATGAGCCAGCAGGAGCCAGCAGGTTTTTTGTTCTGGTTGAATATGCAGATGACTTGGTTCAAGTGCTCTGTCTCCATCCTGCTGGTGATGACCTGCTTGGCCTTTCCTTCCCACCAGGCACTGCCCTACTGCCCCTGGCCAAAATGCTGGACCCAGAAGGGATTTGGGTTCACCCTCAGGAATTACGTGCCTGTGGCTCCACAGCTGAAAGTGCTTTTGGAAAAGGGGTCAAGGAGGGATTCACCAGGGCACAGACAGGTCTCCTCTTGTCCTGTTTCCACGAGTGGCAAAACAATTGTTTCATGTCTTTCCTGCAGTTGCCTGAGGTGGTGAAGGTCTCCATGGAGAGCTCGCCTTACTTCCAGCTCGCGGGCTCCAACGACGCGTACCGTGTTGTGACGCCGGGTGTGCCTGCCCCTGTGCGCATCCGCTTCACCCCCGGCAAGGGCAAGGTGAGACTGGAGGAGCCAAAACACAGAATTACCTCCAAAGCCGTTGTTTTCCCTGCTCTCCGTGCAGCCCCATTCTGTGCTGTGAGCCTGGCTTCAGGCCGTGGGCAGGCAGCCTGCAGCCAGTCACAGCTTGGCTCCTGCTGTCAGGCACTGCGCCCAGGCCTGACAGGCTCTGCTTCCCCCCCTGCACATTCCTGAGCATCCCCGAGGAAGATGCAGGGGAGCAGCGAAAATGACAGAGGAGTGTTGATAGATCTTTGGCCATCTCTAGGTACAGTGGAAGGGATTTCATTGTTATGGAGAACACTAGAGGAACAAAGAGGTCCGAGAGCTTTCCTCCTTCCTGACTGGCAACAGCTTCCCTGCCTCACCCTGGGCTGGAGCAAAGACGGTGCTTTTTCATACCCTCTGTTCTCCAGCCTTGCAGCTGTGCTGTCCCAGAGCACAAGTGACCATGATACAGCTGCAGGGCCAGGGCAGAGGATGAGCTGTGCCCGTGAGCCCGGCCTGGCACGGGCACACTGGGCTCTAGGTGCCCTTAGCCAGCAGGAGGTTGGTGAGCTGCAGGGGACTTGGTCACCTGCCTGAAAGAGCTCGTGTAGGGCAGGCACGACCTGCAGGCAGAGCTGTGACCCCACAGCAGTGACACTGCTGTGCCTCTGCCTTCATGCCTGTCACAGTGGTGGCTCTGTCAGCTGGAACCCATTCTGTGCCAAACCTGCTTTTTTGGGGAGGTTTGAACACTGGTACTGGGGCCCTGGCAAGTCTGATCTCAGTGCTGTGATCCGGAGGCTTGTTCACACAGAAGGGTTTGGGATGTGGCATGGAAGGGGGAAGCCTTGCCGGGAAGCAAAGGGAGGCTCTTTCCAACAGCATGCTGCCATCTCTTAGCGCTGTTCTTCCCCTGACTTGGTTGGACAGGCAAAGTTAGAGGGCAGGTCTGAGCCAACCCATGTTTCTGCACTAGGCCAGAGGTGCAGGAGCTCTTTGGGTGCAGCTAGTTTCTCATCTTCTTTTTGCTGCTTAGAGTCAATTTAACACTTTGTTCTCTTCTCAGACAGTGGGAATATAGAAACCTAAACAGGAATGTCCAGTGTTCCCTAGCTCCATGCTCCTTAGAAAGGACTTAGGAATTACTTAGCATCATTAAAATTTAGAGTAAAATTATGGTGGCCTAAGGCAGCTCTTTGGATGACCCAAATGACACAAGAGCTTAATGCCATTGAGATAGGTTTTGCAAAGTGCGCTGGTGACCTTAAAATATGATATATTAGTAGAATTTAGCATTCATTTTAGGATGGAATAGGTAAATTGATGCCCTTGAAGGGTTATAGGTTTTTCTTCTGCCATGGGGATGGCACTAAATGTCTTGTGCTGAGCTAGGTTCCTTTCCTGCAGGATTATTCCCACGAGCTCATCTGCACCACTGCAAGGGAAAGGATAGTTGTGCCAATTCGGGCCATTGGTGCCCAAGCTACCCTGGAGTTCCCTGACCAGCTGGACTTCTCGGAGTGTCCGGTCAAGCACAGCAGCCAGAAGACTCTGCTGGTTCGTAATGTCAGTAACCGGGCAGTTCACTACCAGCTGAGCACCCAGAGGTGAGGCTCTGTCCTTGTGCAAAACTCCTTTGGGTGGTACCAGGGCTGGGAAAGAGCAACAGCAGGAGCCAGAGCATTGCAGCTGCTGCCCTCTCTTTGTGTTGCAGTCCTTTCTCTGTGGATCCGGCCACAGGAACTGTGGGTGCTGGTGACACCGTGCAGGTGACAGTGGGATTTCACGCACTGACGACCGGTGACTATTCTGGGTCTCTGTGCTGCAACACAGGTGAGTGCTGGGCCCTGCACGGGCACAGAACAGTTCTGCACCATCGCTCCCTGTTGTCCTGTCCCCCTCCATTCCCTCTAGAGGTCCCTCCCCTATTCAGCTTTACCCCAAAGAAAACAGAGAACTCCTTGGTGTTTAGGGGGTTGAGAAAGTGGATCCCCTCTAACAGGACTAAGATTTTTGGACTCCTGTTTTGCTGGGAGTTGCTGAGTGGAGGAAGGAGGATCCCTGGTTCTCCACTACCATGTGGCTATGCCTGGGTGAAGTTTTGTTTTATTCCTGGGTAGTGCTGTATGTGAGGTGTGAGGTTTCCATCAGACTCTCTCCAATGCAATGTGTTTCTTGCACACCTCTGTCCCGTATGCTGCTTCTCCACTGGCTTCTCACAGACTCTTTTTTTATACTGCCCTTGCACATTTATTAGTTCCTGTCTAATAACATTTCCAGGCCCTCGAGTTCCTATTTGGTGACAAATCAAGATAAATTTTTCCTCATCCCCATTTCCCAGGCCATTCGTGCTGTTGCAAACCTCTCACATCTATCTCCCATGTGATTTCTAGACTGAGGAATCCCAGTCAGTCTTCATATAGAAGCTGCTCTGTACTTATTAATCTTCCCTTTGTCCCTTTTTTATTTAATCTGAAATGCTCCAGCTTGGTTTTTGAGATCAGAACAATATAAAATATTTCAAGACTGATGTGGCTGTGGGTTTGGACAGGGAGATGACGATGATTTTCATGGTGTTCATTTTGTAGTGGTTTGTCATATTGCAGAGCCAGGCAGGTTGTGTTTCCTCACCCATGTCCCCTCCTGCTGTGGGCCATCACTTCACTTGTTCCTCTGGGCCTCCTTTTGCTGCCCACATGCCCCCAGGCAAATTTTCTTGTCAGCAACAAGGGATCCAAAAGATCAGGAGAGACAGGAGTCCCCTGGGATGCCCAGGGAGAGCCTGGGCAAGCCAGGACTGAACAGGGCTCCTCAGCATCACCTGAAGGACTTTGATGCAGAAATCCTGGTCATCTGAGTGGGTCACCAGAGCACATCTGACAAATCTCACTGCACATACTGTCACCCTGGGGCCAAATCTGCACAAACACTCCCAGAAATAAGGTGTTAAGGAGGTGCCCAGGGCATCCTCATGCTGTACACTCAGAGCTGTCAGGATGTGATAAATGGACTGATACATGGAACTGCTCACTCAGCTGAAAACTGTGACACTTTCTTCTGTGACCTGTGGTTTGCTTTGTTCCTCATGCTTCCATCAGCCAGTGAGCTGAGCAAAGACTCCCCGTTGCTTTGTTCCAGGTGAAGGAAGTACCCACACAGAGCTCCACGCAGAAGCTGTAGAGCTCAACATCGGGTTGAGCACAAATTTCGTGGCGGTTGAGACGACGTTCATCACCATGTCAAACCACAAAACCATGTTCATTGAGAACAGGAGTAACGTCACGGCCCACTTCCAGTGGAAGGCTTTTCCTACCGAGGAAGGAGAGAATCGAGAGAAGAGGAGGTTGGTCTGACATTTCATATCTCATTTCAGTGAGATACATGGCCCAAGACTAAAACTGACGTGTGGCCTCAGGGGGTGTTGGTGCTTTTGAATGGTTTGGGCCAAGTAAACCATGCCTGGCCCTAGGGTGTGTGTCCCTGCTGGCTTCAGGGTCTCAGCACTGAGCATTCCAGTTCCACTTAAACTCCAATCAAGGGTGGCATTTTGGGAAGGAAAGGTTGGTTGCAATGACTCGATTTCCTCAAGTTCTCATTGGGCTTTCATCTCTCTAATCTTCCTACATGACCTGGCAACATCCTTAAACAGCTCACTCTCTTTCCAAAGGTGATACACCCTCTTTTTTTCCCTTAGTTCCTTCAGAAGGTCCTTGCCCATCCAGGCTGGTTGTCTTCCCTGCCAGCTTGTCTTTCAGCACAGAGGGACAGTCTGTTCCTGTGCCTTCAAGACTTCTTTCTAGAAGTATGTCCATCCTTCCTGGACCCCTTTGTTTTTAAGGGCTGTTTCCCAGGGTTCTTGCCAAATCAGCCTCTTGAACAGGCCAAATCTGCCCTCCAGAAGTCCAGAGTGAAACTTTTGTTGATGCCCCTCCTTGTTTCACTGAATATTGAGAACTCTTATTATTTCACATTGTACCCCAGACAGTGGTGAAGAGATGAAGTTCATTTAGTTATTAGGGAATTTCCTGGTGATATCCTGTACCTGGGCCCCAGGGAGGCACAGACTTCCCTGTGGAATGGATCCAGTCAATCTAAGGGCCCTCAGCTCCCCTTAGAAGGGAGTCACCTACTACCACTACCCACTACCCTTCTTTTCTTCTTAATTCTTGAGGCTGTGATCCATCTGACAGACCAAGTGCAACTGGGAGACTCTCCAGGCAGAATTTTTTCTTTCGTGTCATCTGCCTGACCCTCTGGAGCCAGGACTCATACCTGTTCTGTCAAGACACCTGGGTAGGTGATGGGGGTCAGGATGGAATTTTATTGCCTCCCCAGGAGAGACCAATTTCCATTCCCCACTGTGTCCTAGGTCTCCTCCTTCTGCCTGATCCCAAGAGGGGCAGAGCTCCTCTGACTCCTGCTGAGCTTCTCTCAGGGTTGGAGGGGTGTAACTCCACCAGTTTGTTTCTGTGTCACTCTCCCTAATGCTCCTCAGCCTTCCCATTTCTTCCTTAAGCTCTGCCACTGGGCAGAGCAGATCCTTCAGCTGCTCACACCACACGCAGGTGTCTTCTGCACTTCCTCTGCCATTAACACCAGGCTCAGACCCTCCCTGCATCCAGGGGCCTGGACAGCTGTGCCCTTCCTGGGGGGTTCTCTTTGAGTTAGTGCACTCCTGCTGGCAGCAGCAATGGCTCTTCATCATTTGTAAGCCATTGCTGGGAAAAAAAACATAAAGAAGAAAGAAAAAAAAACCAGGCAAGCACCTCACAACCAGCAAAAAGACTCAACCCTCTGCATAAGGAGGATGGGTGGCTGCACATTATCTGCTCAGGCTGCTTGTGCAAACTGCCACGCAAAAACTGAAAAAACACTGGGCCAAAACTGCTGAACCAAAACTGCTGAGCCAAAACTGCTGGGCCAAAACTGCTGGGCCAAAATTGCTGTGGCAAGCCCCTGGTTGCTGAGGGCCCGGTTGCTTGCAGTCCCCAGAGTCATTTTAAATTGCCTGCAAAGGACCAGGAAATTGACCCTTGCCCACCTGAATGGCTTTAGTGCCCTGGGCTTCTTGGTTTTCCACTGTTCTCCATCTCCTTACTCAATGTCTGACTTCCATACAAGCTCTGTGTGTCAACAAAAACCCCATTACCTTCTCTGGCTACTTCCCTGGGCTCTTTATTTCCATTTTTCCCCACTTCCCTGCCTCAGCCTGGACCCTAGGTGATCTGCTTTGCCCTCAGAACCAACTAAGTTTCCCTGAAGTAAACTTAAACCTGGTTTTGGTTTTGTGGGTTTTTTCCAATTACATTTGTTTTCATGCCAGTTTTTGTCCTGGACTGCCACCAGGACATTTTGTTCTTCCTTACTTCCAGTCTTAGGCAAGGCCACTGTCCTGCTGTCAGAGCAGCTTTTGAAATCTCAGAGCTGAGAGGACTTTTTAATGAGAGGACACAGTGCAGGATCCTTTCCCTCTCAGGACATTCTACTACCATGCACTGGGATGGGACCCAAAAAGCTCTGGGTCATGAAAAGGCCTCTCCAGGAGTTTTCTGTCTCCCTCCTGCACAACAAAGTCCCCTCACCTCTCAGACCTTCTGCTTTCATGCGTAAAACCTTGAATGTCACTGAAGGGGTGCGGTGCCTGAATTTATCCATTTCCTTTGGAAGTGCTGTGGGATGCTCTTGTGAAAGGCAGAGTAGGGATCAGGGCAGGTCCAAAATGGCAGAAACAAA